ATTTACAAGCTCCATCACACTACTGAAACAGTTTCATTTGCAAACTGTTATTGGGGTCTTGGAAAAAGAGGGATTCAGCAGATGCACACTAAGAATAAGCACTTTGACAACTGCTGGCCACAAATCACAGTCTTCAGCTTCTTAAAGCATTAACAAACAGTTATGTAAGAATACAGATGTGCATTCACTACACAGATGTGCATTCACTACACAGATGTGCATTCACTACACAGATGTGCATTCACTACACAGCAGCCTTCATAAAAAGCTGCTACTGACAAAAGGGAAATATTATTGTAAAGCAGCATTTGTATAACAAAATGGGAACATAAGGACCTGATGATCTTAGAGGTCTTTCCAACCTAAATGATTCTATACTCTGTTACCATCAACAGGGAGTTCATCAACTCCAGCGAAGCACTGTAAACAGTGTGTTTGGATTTAATAATCATTCACATTAAATTCTTCTACCACTCAACCGTGGGGAAAAATAGGAAATGAGTTATAATAGACAAAAGCTGTAATAGATGACCACTAACAGAGTTCAGTGGATACTCGGAGGGGAAGGATCAGAAACGTGATTTCTAATGGGTGAGCAATGAAGGAGTAAAAGACCCCCTAATGCCATTTCCATTTCTTCCTCCAAAAGGTAAAGTCTGCATCACACCAAGGCAGAAAACAGAAACTAGAATCTAAATTTGAGGAAAAAAGCTTCCAAAACAGCACATTTTGTAACAAAAATGCTCCAGGGAGAACTTATTGTGGCCTTTCAATACCTTAAGAGAACTTAAAAGAAAGCTGGAGAGGGGCTTTGGATAAGGGCCTGTAGAGACAGGACATTGGGAATAGCTTTAACCTGCCAGAGGGGAGACTGAGATGAGCTCTGAGGCAGATGAGATCTAAGGTCCCTTCCAACACAAACCAGTCTGGGATTCCATGATTGTACGGAAACTAGTACTTAGTATGCTAAAGAAAAGCCTGCTGTAACTTGGACTGCTAACAGGGGCTTGGACAATGGAAGTTACAATCAGTTTCCCATTTACCAACTCACTGGCAAGTCAAAGTTCCTGAAAATCAGAAGGGAGGGAGGAAGAACAGAGCGCAGCTGGACTCCAAATTATGTATCTGAATCTCAGCTGATGCAAACCACAGCACGGTGTTGGACTTGGTTAAAAAACATCCAACAGGAGCTGCTGCTTCCAAAACGAGAGCACTGGCGCTAACGTGACTAAAGCAAAGCCAATCTCACCTACTAAATCTGCTGCAATAGCCACATGAAGAAAATAACCAAAAATCCTCCAAACACCTCACAAGAAAACCCTATCTACACCAACCAGCATCATGCTAAAGACTGAAAAGAAGCATTTATCAAAGTGACAAGCCAGCAAAAGCTGTGGGTCCTTGGTTAACATACTGAAATACCCTCACAGACCTAGAAAAGCAAACACTTGGACCTCAGAAACACCAAGCATTACCTGCCCTGGAATAGAATCCATAGTGATTAAATCCTGTACCTAAATACAGATACCCATCCAGCTGGAAACAAAGTCTAAAACCAATTTCAATATAGAGAAAACCAGCCTTAATGGGTCTAGCAGCTTCATGTTTTACATACAGCTACTAACTTGTCAACAACTGTTTTTCCTATAGCTACACACAATAAACCCCTCTGTGTTATCCATCGATATACTAATGAAATGCAGTAATTGGTCTGCACCCCTTTCAAGTGTGCTGAATATCACAGTTCATTTATGAAGGCTGCTGGCACTGACTCAGGGTTTGCTCAAAATCATAAGCAATGCTTAAGAGCATTTACAAGACCTCTACATAGCCTGTCGCTCCTCCCCTCATCCCTTTCCTTTGTTCAGTGACAATATTTACATGAAGAAGTGGTTTCCTTGAGTCAGACTAGGCTTTCTGATGTTGGCTAATTGGCTCCATTTATTCTGCAGAGGATCTGAACACAAAGAGAAGTTATTAACTGATGCTGTGTGCTGCCTGCTTTTGAGCAAACAGGGCTCACAAGTCCCTTGAGGGGGACTGTAGAGTCAGTGCCTCCAGAGGTTGTACTGCAGAATTCATGTGAATTTAAAGCAAACACAACCAAACAGGACCCCCCCAGCCAACAAACCCCAAGCTTCCCAAACAACCAGCACCCCACCAAACATTTAAACCACGGGTATGGGGTCCAAGTCATGCAACTGGGCAGATGTTTGGCTACCTTGGTGGAGTCCTGATACCTTTACTCTAAGATGAAGAAGAGTCACTCCAGTTTAACAGCACCTTCAGAGAACGTGATACTAAGCAGAGGCCAGCAAGGTAACAGATGCTGCACACAGTGAAGACTCACAAAGCACTAAGATGTTCTGCAGTTGATGTGCCAGCAATGCCAAGTCATGAGCCATTGTGGAAAGTCACACTGAACCACATGAGGTGTAACCACACACATTTACACGTCATCCCTATCAACATACAAAGAAGTTAAAAATTGGAGTATGTGTGTAAAACCAGTGTGCATTTTATGATGCCATCTTTAATTGCCTATTGAATACAACTTCATGTAATACATGTCTTGCAGAATGCACCCCATGTGCTGGGCTGCACCCCCAGAGCGTGAGCAGCAGGTCAGGGAGGGGATCCTGCCCCTCTGCTGTGCTCTGGGGAGACCCCCCCTGTACCCCTGATCCAGCTCTGGGGAACAGCACAAGAGGGACGTGGAGCTGCTGGAGCGAGGCCAGAGGAGGCCCCGGAGCTGCTGCGAGTCCTGTCACTCCAGTCCCTGATGAAGGTCCCTCTCCAGCATCCTTGTTGCCCCCTTCACACACTGAAGCTGCTCTGAGGTCTCCAGCAGCTTCTCTTCTCCAGGCTGAACACCCCAATGTTCTCAGCCTGTCTCCATACGGGAGCTGCTCCAGCCCCTGCTCATCCTCGTGGCCTCCTCCGGACTTGTTCCAACAGCTCCATGTCCTTATGCTGAGGACACCAGCCCTGCACACACAAGTGGAGTCTCGAGGGACAGGAATCAAGTGCTGCCTATTAACAACTTGCCCTGGTCATTCACACACCTCACTTTGTGGGGTTAAGAGGTTGCTTTGTTTCCTG